CGAGGAGCCCCCAGCAGCTCGAAGGCGCCGCGTGTTGGCGCGCACCTGGCAGTAGATGCGCGCGTACAGCGCACAGATGGCAGCCAGGATGCCAAGGAAGGCGAGCACGCAGAAGAGCACGTAGGCCTTGGCGTAGAGCGAAAACCAGGAGGCTCAGCACCGAGGCGGCGAGCGCCACAAAGACGCCGCCCTCTCTTGCGAACCAGAGCGTCGGCGACAGGCGCAGCGTGAGCGGCCCGGACAGCAGGATGTTGGCGGCATACGCAGCGCCCGCCAGTAGGTCAGATAATGTGAGGCTGCCCAGAAGCAGGAACATGGGCGCATGAAAGCGCGGGTGGCGTCCGAGCACGAACAGCACAGCCAAGTTCTCCAGCACGATGAGCGCGCACACGGCCAGGCAAACGACGGCGTCGGCGCGCAGCCCCGCGCCCGGCTGGTAGCGGGCGCCGCGGAGCTTGCCGGTGTAGTTGTAGTGCAGGACGATGACCTCGCTCACCGGCGCAGGGCGCAGCAGCCCCGACTCCATGGGCCACCGCCCGAGGCTGCGGAGAGGCGGTGCAGTGTCAGGCTTGGCGCGAACCATCCTCGCTGCCAAAGGGGCGAGGGGCCCGACCCCCCTCCCCTCTACCTCCCAGGTACACTGGGGAACAGGGGGAGTTCCGGATGGAAGGGGGATGGCCACGGTGACAGGCCGACACAGAAATAATAATAGGGAACAGGGTGACAGTCCCACAGTGACTGAGGGATACTCATAACTCACACGTCATCGAGATAACCAGAGGCATATTCAATCGTAAACAGAATGCACACAAATACAGCCTCACATAGGAAGGGACACACCAATACAGTGACACACCGCAAGGATATATATGTACACGGTCACAAACGAGGGCAAAAATGGTCGGATCCCATCCGAAAAACACAGAAATGCATTCACCCGTAGATAAAGCAACACAGGCAGAGGCATACAGCAATACCAACAGCCACACAGGCCACAATTTCACAACCTCCACCCATGCTCAGCCTGGAGCCCTGAGCTGCACCCAGGGCTTGTTCCTGCCCTTTCACCCACCGCAAAACCCGTGAGAACGCTGAGCCATCGGCCCATTTCACAGAGCCCGAGCCCGAGGGCCCCCGACAGGCCCACAATGCACAGGTAGCGCCAGCAGACAGGCACACGTGTGTTAGAGCATGATGATCCCCTGCGACTGGGCCCTTTAATCCCCTGGACGACTCTCACCATAGCCCCGTGTGCAGACGAAGACACTGAGGCGGAAAAGAAGTGCCTCGCAGAGAAACAGACCCAAAGGTGTTCGTGCTCCCACACAAGCACAGCCACGCAGAAACAGCTGCACACACAGCCGCGCAGGTCCCATTTCACGGATGAGAAAACTAAGGCCTGGGGAGGAGAACCGACTTGTTTGGACTTGGCTGGGTCCAGTGCCTGCCAGGCGGCTTCAGTTGTGCACAGGGAAGCAGGCACAAATACAGACCCACGGGGAGGCTGCGGCTCCGTCCCGCTGCGGGGAGCGGGCATCAAACACACGCAGACACGGGCTCTGACGGGGACTCTGCAAACTGGCTCACAGCCCCGCACCTCCCGCCTGGCCCCGGCAGGCAGGCAGCGGTCCTCAGGGGGGAAACTTGCAGGGGAGTGGCCAGAAAGGACAAGGCCTGAGGGTTCCAGGCGCACCCCACCCCCACCCCCAACACCAGCCCGCGCCAGCATCCATGCAACGACATCCGAAAAGTCGCTGGCTTTCTCCGCCTTCAGGAGAGGCCCGGGCACTCCAAGGAAGGGGACCCGCGGAGTGGCCAGAGCAACCTTTCCGGGCCAGGCCAAGCCATGCGCGTCCCAAGGGCCCAGTGCTGTGCACTCACCCAGCGCCTTGTCCGTGCGCCCCCGCAGTCGCGCAGCCTGGAGCCCAGAGTTCGGGTGCCGCTCGTGGGGGCGGGACTGAAGACGGCTGGCGGAAAAGGGGGTGGGGGTGGGGGGAGACTGGCCCTCAAAGCCGAGCTAAGGCGGTCGCCAGCAATTGCCCCGCCCCTTGGGCTGCCAGCCTGTGCCATCCGCTCCAGCATCAGAGC